GGGCTGGAGAGATGGCTCAGTGGTTAAGAGCACTGGCTGCTCTTCCAGAGGTCCTGAGTTCAATTCCCAGCAACCACATAATGGCTCACAACCATCTGTAATGAGATCTGGTGCCCTCTTCTGGCCCGCAGATGTACACGCAGGCAGAACACTGTGTACATAATAAATAAATAAATCTTTAAAAAAAAAAAAAAGAAACGTCTGACCTGGCATTGTCTTGCTGCTGAACATCATGGTTGCCCAGCTCTACCAGGGTGGGTCTTCGGTTGGAACTGAGAAATCTGTAGTTTTATCTGGATTTTTATCAAATGGATCGTTTCATGTTCTCCTCCCAGTAACAAGTGGCTTTCAGGGCATTCGGCGCTGTCCCCAAGGTCTTTACAGGTGACTATAAATGTTCTCTTGTGCTGTCTGCTTTGGTCGTGTGATTGTGATGTTGATGGCCTGCCTCTCTCAGCCTGTGGACCACACCGTCTAAACGTCTTCTCTATAGAACAGCTCTAATGTTATCTTCACAGCAGAAACTAAGTAGCTGAGGGGAAGCCATCTGGTCTACCCTAGACCAAAGGCAGAGTCACAGAAAGCCTGAAGGATATGAAGCTGTTGATGTCAGGGTGTCCCGTGGCCTCTCTGCTCTGCAGCAGGCCCACCCTCTGTTCCCAAGACCTCTGCTGTCCTCTGGGCCTTGACTGTGAAAAGTGACAGACTCACCAGACCTGAACTAGATCTTGCCTCGCCTGTCTCTGCACTAGAGCCAAGCCCCAGGTTTCCCACTGGACTCCAAACAGAGGTGATATCTGTATTGCCAAGAGAGCAGGGCTGTTTGTCTGCTAAGGCGAGCTAGCCTTTGCCCTTCAGACAGCTGTGGTGGGAGAGCTGAGATACTGTTAAAGGAATTATGTGACTAGCCTGGGCTACCAGGGGGGAGAGGAAGTCTATCGTCGCCAAGCCTTCCCTCCTGGGTAGTCAGGGTTAAGGTATACCAACAAAAAGCAGAGACCCGGGGCGACCACCAAATGTAAAAGTCTCTCTCAATAAACTCTGTGTAGCAGTGTTGAGCTAGAACACCCCACATCTCACAGACCGTTTGTGTGCGCGCATGCATGTGGAGGTCAGAGCACAGCCTTGGGTGTCCTTCCTTAGATACTTTTTTCAATGTGTTTTATTTTGAGACAGGGTCCCACTGTGGAGCCCTGAAGGTCCTGGAACTCACTATGTAGATAAGGATGGCCTCAAACTCAGAGATCTGCCTGCCTCTACCTCCCCAGGGCTGAATTAAAGAATCAAAGGTGTGTGCCACTGTGCCAGGCATTTTGTTGTTTTGTTTTTCGAGACAGGGTTTCTCTGTGTAGCCTGTCCTGGAACTCACTCCTTAGACCAAGCTGGCCTTGAACTCACAGAGATCCACCTGCCTCTGCCTCCCAAGTGCTGGGATTAAAGGTGTGCACCACCACTGCCACCCAGCTGCCAATCACTGTCCTTTAAAAGGAAAAAAAAAATTCCAAGGTTCTACCTGTCTCTGTCTCCTAGCGCTGGGATTACAAGCATATGCCAGCATGCCCAGCTTTTCTTCCATGGGTTCTGAGGATGAAACTCAGGCCTTTGTACTTGCAAGTTGAGAGAATTTTACCAACATCCTTCAAACTTTTATGTTCTGATAGTCACGTAGGCTTCCAAGACCTTCTGAAACATGTTCTGCTCCTCTGGCTCCTGAGAGTCATCCCCAGAGGCTTGCTCTTTCCTTCCATATGTATCCCTAAACATTTGGACTTCAATGTTTCTGCTCAAAGCCAGTCCCCGTACTCGGGGATCATCTCTAGACTACAGTCTGTCAGGGCTCCTGACCCAAAGGTGATGATGCCCCATCGACTAAAGTGAAATGACTAATTGGTCTCCAGTTGTGACTGAGGTGACTGAGGGAGGCTTTCTCAGAACTGGAGCAGAAAGGATTTCATGGGACTTGTGTGTCTTCCTGGAGACTGATATTAAGGGCCCCCAGTCCTGCCTCCTCTTCTGGCTTGAGCTAGTAAAGAAGAGAGAACTGGAACTGGCCCTCTACTAAGTGGAAAGTATGACATGACACTCAGGAAGATGGAGGCCGGAGGACTTTAGCAGGCAAGTGCCTTGCCCCTTCCAAGGTCACGTGTCCTGAGCCCAGTGCTGCAGTGCCCTTGTCTTGTGAATTCTCCCAACCCCTCTGTATTGCCCATCTAAAAGTTGGTACCTAGGATGGCCCGGGAACTGTATATAGCCTGAGCATCCCTCTCTGCCCTCTCCACTGCTGCTCTAGTGCATCGCAGCCCCTCCCTTCTCGGGCCAGATCACTGTAAGCACGGGCTTGTGTTGGCGGAAGCTGCTTGTTCATTTCCCGGCCACCCAGACCCCAAATAATCATACAGAAACTGTGTCATTACAACAGTTGCTTCTTACTGGCTAGCTCTTATACCTTAAATTAACCTATTTCTATTCATGTGTGTATCACCACGTGACGGTGGCTTACCAGTAAGGTTTTGTCTGGCGTCTCCTGAGTGGCTACATGGCTTCTCACTGACTCCGCCTACTCTTTCGCTCTATCTCTTCCAGCCTGACTATGTTCTGCCCTGAGATAGGCCAAAGCAGATTCTTTATTCATTAACCAATAAAAGCAACACATATACAGGACGACTTTCCTGGGCTTGGTTTGAGAGAGGGGCGTTAATAAGCCAAGACATCTGTCATCACTGGATAAGGAACCGGGTAATAACCAGAGGGTGCGGCTCAAGACCATGTGTTCCCTCGACTCAGACAGCGTGGGCTCGCCTTCTACTCTCCTCTACCCCCAAGTACGGGTCCTCCTGCTCTCCTCCCTCCATCCCGTGCTCATTACGACGACCAGCCTTGGTTCTTTCCAGGAATCACGTTTTAATCCCCAGCGAGCCTCCTCTCCAAGTGTGGCTGGCTTTTTGGAGTAGAAAGGTTGCGGGGTGGAAAGAAAGTGTGGTTGCTGTCTGGTTTTTGTTGTCGTTTGGGTTTTTTCTGGATTGTTTTTTTGGTTGCTTTTGTTTTTGCTCTGCGGTACCGTCAGGTCCTGGAGTCCCTGGATCACCATTGCTGGATGTAATTAGTCGACTAAGAAAGAGGGGGAGACAGGAAGCAAAACAAGTTAAGTCCTTTCTGGGTGTGCTGCTTGAAGAAGATCGCGTTAGGCCTCTGAAGCCGGAGGATGCAAAGTGAGATAAAACAGAGCAGCTGCTCCTCTGCCTAAAGCTGCCGAGGACCTGCGCAGGCCTCACCCTCGGTGCCTGTATCCCACTCCCGCCATTTTACACTGAGTAGGAGATACTAGTTGGCATCCTGGCCTGGTGGCTCGAGCCTGTAATCTTAGCTAGTTGGGAAGCTGAAGTGGGAAGATCACAAGTTCAAGGCTTGCCTAGGGTAGAGAGGGAGTTCAGGGTGAGCCTGGGAAACCTAACAAGATCCTGTCTCAAAATAAAAGTTTGAGGCTGGAGAGAGCTAGTAGTGAGAGTGCTTGCTGAGGCTGGGCGGGGAGGTGGGGGGCGGGGGGGGGTGCAGGCCTTTAGCTCTCTGGAGGCGGAGGTGGGTGGATCTCTGAGTTCCAGAATGCCCTGCTCTGTAGAGGGTGTTCCAGGACAGCCTGGGAGAATTACACAGAGAAATCTTGTCTTGAAAAAAAGAGCCCTTTGCTGGTCTTGCAAAGGACTAAAGCTCCGTTCCCAGCAACCCCTGCAGCAGCTCACACCCACCTGTACCTCCAGCTCCGGGACATCCATTCCCTCTTCTGACCTCCTCAGACACTCACACATGTGCAATATACACAAGTACTCCTTGTTTTTGTTTTGTTTTGCTTTGTTCTTTTGAGACAGAGTTTCTCTGTAGCTTTGGAGCCTGTCCTGGAACTCACACTGTAGACCAGGCTGGCCTCGAACTCACAGAGATCCACCTGCCTCTACCTCCCGAGTGATGGGATTAAAGGCATGTGCCACCACCACCCGGCTAAGTAAAAAGATTTTTAAAGGAAGGTGGCCCCAGTACCACAAAAAGAATTTCAAAGCAAAACCCAGAAATAACTTTGAAATGATTCCAGTCCTCTCCCTGAACCCCTGCTAGGAAATGCTCCTTGGCCTTCACAGGCACACAAGGACGTGCCCGCAGTCACGCAGTCAGAGCCCCTTTGCCTCTCACCGTGAGTCGGGAATATTTAGGAGAGCTAGGCTGGCATACATTCGGGAGACCTGATAAGACAAAGCACAAGTCACTCACCTGGCAGTGGTGAAGGGGGCTGAGGGTGGGAGCAGGCTTTTCTTGGGGGCAAGGCACAGACTGAACCTACCAGGAAGAATCCCCTCATTCTGTGATCCCCTGTTCCACACTTTACAGGGCTCAGTTTGCTCTACTAATAACCTACAATTCACACCCTACCCTTCAACCATGACCACCTTCTCTGTCACACCCTACAAAACAGACCAGTGTCTTCTCAGTCACGATAGTGACAGAAGCCTCTTTGCTGCCCTAGCTTGGTTCAAACTGTCCAGGAGGAGGAGGCCACTTGGGCTGTAAAAGGTTATGGGTGCCAGGAAGGGTCAGACAGGACAGGGGCCAATAGAACTTCGGAACGACCCGAGCTGGGGGGGGAGGGAGGGGACTGGGATGGATGCAAAACTCTGGCTCTCTTCCCGGGTAACACACTCACCACGACCTGGAAGGATTGGGGGTCCACGCGGTCTACAGACTTGCTGCCCATCTTGTTGGGCCCCCGCTGGTCCAGGCTGAGGGTCTTGCCTTTGGGTGTCCTTCTGGAGATTGTCCTTGCCAGTGCTCTGTGTGGGAGGGTCAGGCTCCTTTGGTGGCTTTGGTCCAGGTGGTGGCTGGGGGTGCGCCTGCTCCTGTGGCTGTGCAGGCGGTGGCGGTGGCTGTGGCTTTGCTGGTGGCGGAAGAGGCCCTTTTGAATCCTGATGTGGCTGAGATGTTTTCTCGGAATGCTGTTTCTTCTCTTCCTGTTTTTTTACTTCCTAGCAAGAAAGTCCCAGCAAGTGACATCCTCTGTCCTCACCCAATCACTTATCTCACAGTGGACCATGCAAGACAAAGGGGAAATGCAGACTGCCCAAAGCATCTCTAACCCCTGGAGTTAGAGGTTGAAGCTAGCCTAGGCTGTCTCGCTCAGGCCTCGGGTTCTGGAGTCACTGTGCTGATTCCCAGGGCTGGAGAGATGGCTCCATCCTTAAGAGTGCATAGATTTCCCCTTCCAGAGTCCACACCACCCACACCAGTAGTTCACAGCTGCCTGTAACTCCAGCACCAGGGTTTAGTAAATGTATCAAAACAGGTTTTCTGGATATGGTGGCACATGCTTATAATTCCAGAAATTGGGAGGTAGAGGCAGAAGGATTGCCACAAGTTGGAAGCCAGCCAGGGCTACATTCTGAGACTGTCTCAAAACCAAGGCACTGGGTAATAATAGCTTCGTCGGTAAGGTGCTTGCCTTGCAGACGTGAGGACCTGAATTAGATTCCACAGAACTCACAATAAAAAACTGGGCAAGGGGGCTGGAGAGATGGCTCAGCGGTTAAGAGCACTGGCTGCTCTTCCAGAAGCCCTGAGTTCAATTCCCAGCACCCACATGATGGCTCACAACCATCTGTAATGAGATATGGTGCCCTCTTCTGGGCCTGGAGGCACACATGCAGGCAGAACATGGTATACATAATACACTTTAGTACAGGGATCCCAGAGGTAGGAGGTTCCCTGGAGCTCAGTGGCCAACCAGCCTAGCTTAACAGACTTCAGGATTGTGAGGATCCCTGTCTCAAAAAGCAGGATAGATGGTGGTTGAGGGACAAAGCAAAGGCTGTCCTCTGCCTCCACACATGTATTCACGGATGTGCATGCCCAAGTATGTCTACGCACACAGAAGAAATGAAAAAAAATTAATGGTTTCACCTGTGTTCTCTGATTTCATGTGTGGTTACCAGAAAATAGAAAGTCAGGCCTGGAGTTGCAGCTCAGTAGTGCAGCAAACTTCCCCAGCTTGTGCAAAACCCTGGGTTCTGCCCCAGCACCTTTCCCCACCAGGCAAATCTTACTCACGTGGCACACAAAGTTTTTAATGGACCGTACAGTTTCAAAACATTTGCAAGGAAGTATTCCTGTATTTGCATGTATGCACGTGAGCCCAGAAGAGGGTATCAAATCTCCTGGAACTGGGGTTTCTTGTGGTTTTGAGTCACCCTGTGGTTGCTGAGAACTAAACCTGGGTCCTTTGAAAGAGCAGCCAGTGTTCTTATCCCCTGCACCGCCGTCTCTCCAGCCCTGACTTTATTGCTCTCAATTGTGTATGTGTGAGGGGAGGGTACGTGTAAGTGAGTGCAGCTGCCCGTGGAGCTGGATGTGCAGACAGCCGTGAGCTGCCCCTACAAGGACGCTGCAGGAAAAGGAACTTGGATCTTCCAGAAGAGCACTCTTAGGCACTCTTAACCACAGAGTCATCTCTCCAGCCACATGGACACTAAATTTTTATTAAAAGCATTTGAGCATCGGGCAGTGGTGGTGCATGCCTTTAATCCCAGCACTCAGGAGGCAGAGGCAGGTGAATCTCTGAGTTTGAGGGCAGCCTGGTCTACAGATCAAGTTCCTGGAGAAAAACCCTGTCTTGAAAAACGAAAACAAAAGCACTTGCACTCGGGGTTTAGAGCTGGCTCAGCACTGAAGAGTATTCGCAGTCCTCCCAAAGCACCCGCATTAAGTTTCCAGCACTCACATCGGGCCGTTCATAACCACCTACAACTAATTCAAGGGATTTGACTCCTTTTGGACCCTAAGAGCACCGATACACAATGTGAAGACACACACACACACACACACACACAAATGTAAATAAAGTAAATCTGAGAGAACCAAGAGATGGCTCAGTAGTTGAGAGCACTGGCTGCCCTTCTATAGGACCCAGGCTAAATTCCCAGCAATCACATGGCAGCTCATAACCGTCTGTAACTCCAGTTTTGGGATCCAACACCCTTTTCTGACCTCCAGTGGTACCAGCTACACACATGGTACACAGACATACATGACATACATGCAAGCAAAAAGCACACACACACACACA